TTACAAATCTCACCAGAAGCTTCTCTATCCCCCTAGTTTTGCCAGCAATTTTGATGGACTCTGTATGTGGCCATGCATGTGACCTCTAAACTTAGAAGTCATCCAGGGCAGAGTTTGTATTTTAGATCTCAACCCCTTCTGTGGCTATCCTGCTTCCAGAACGTACCCCTTAAATATCTATCTGCTCTCTCTGAACTTTGCCATTACTACCATGATCTGGCAAGAATGCAGCTTTCCATTGCCAAGAAAGCAAGAAAGCCATTAACTCCCAGTTCTTACCCAATCAGTAGAAACTTTCTATGGTAAACTCTTTCACTTACCTTAGGTCATCTTCCAGAACCTTCCAGTAGTTGTTTTTTGTTGTTGTTGTTGTTGTTTTTAATAATCTGGCCACTGTTTATCATTATTATCTGCTAGAGAAACTATCTGACCTCTTCAAATTGCCATTATGTGAACTTATTTTATTAGCCTCATATCCTGTCTTCCTGCTTCCACCCTTCCCTTTGGAAAGCCTCTTCTCCACACAAAAGCCAAAGTCATACCTTTAAAACATAAATCACATATCACACCCCCCCACAAAATCCTTGAAGAGCATTCTACTGCACTCAGAGTAAAGGCCAATCCCTCATATGGCCTGCAAAGTCCTATATAAAGTTGCCCCAGACCACCTCTCAAACCTTATCTCAGCAGTCTCACCTGGACCATTCTCCTGTGCTTCTGATACACCTAGCACAGTCCAGTTTGCTCTTCACTTGGCCTAAAACACTCTTCCCCTACTTAGTTGCATGACTGGCTCCCCTCACTTTCTCCAAGTTTCTGTTCAAATTTTGTCTGAACAGAACAAATTTTGTTTGTTTCTGTTCAAATTTTGTCTTGCTAGAGAAGACTTCCCCAGTCACCCAATCTAAAATAGCATTTCTCTCTATCACACATCCATCATCTTCACTTTCCCTTCCTTGCTTTGCTTTCCCTCATTGTACTTACCGCCGTTGATCTCACTTATGTACCATATACACATATGGTTTACTATACACTTATGCTCACTTAAACATAAACTCTATGTGGTGGGAATTTTCTTGCATCCAATATCATAACCGTAGGGCCTAAAACAGAGCCTAGTAGGTAGAAGGTGCTCAATAAACAGGAGTCAAATAAATGAATGGGGTAAGTGCTGTTATCTCTTAGGCATTATTGTATTAACTCATGTTACTTTCATAGTACCCTATCAATAGGCACTATAATTATCCCTATTACAGATAAAGAATCAAAGCACAAAGATCTTAAGTCCAAATTAACAAAACTAACAAGAAGTGGAGCCAGGATTTGAACTCTGGCAGTATTATCTGCAAAGCCCACTACATTAGTCTGCTCTGGCTGTGATAATAAAATATCAGACTGGGTGGCTTGAACAACAGAAATTTGTTTTCTCACAGTTCTAGAAGATGAAGGATAGAGGTGATGGCAGAGTTAGTTCCTGGTAAAACTTCTATCCTTGGTTTGCAGATGGCTGCCTTCTCATTGTATCCTCATATAGTTTTTCTCTGTGTGCCCTCCTGGTGTCTCTTCCTCTTCCTGTTGGATTAGGGCTCCACCCATACTGACCTCATTTAGTCCTAATTGCCTCCTTAAAGGCTCTATCTCCAAATACAGTCAAAATGGGGAGTTAAGATTTTAACATATGAATTGGGGGGGTCCCAATTCAATCCACAATACTTGTAATTTATACCCATAAAACATAGTTGTTTTCAACATCTTTTCTTTTTATTTTAGAGAATTAAGTATGTTCTCCTTAGTTCTTTTTAGATGGACAGTGGAGAAGAAACTTCCAGGATCCTGACCAGGTCATACCATCACCTGGTAAGTGAAATCTACTAACATAGCTACACTCAGGATCTTCAGAAACAAGGTGATCTCCTAAAACACCAAATGATTGGGCCAAACATCTGCTAGTGTACTTTCACACACTGTGCATTAACTCAGTACAGCTCTGGGAATTATGTTTATTTGTAACTCCTCATACAGAACCAGCAGAAAACCAGATAATTCTTGTGAGCCCCTAATGGAGCACTAATGGAGCCCCTAATGAGCACCAGTCTCCTTGGTGATCCTGAAACACAAGGTGCGTGCTCCTACCTCAGGGCCTTTGCACTTCCCTTTTAGATAGCTTCATGACTCATTTTTCTCCTTATCTAGGTTCCTTTTCTAGTTATCTACATGAATTCTTGCTGGAACAACCTATTTAAAATTGCAAACATACCTTCCTTCTGCACTGCCCCTGTCTATTCCTTTCTTTTCTACTTGATTATTCTCTGTGGCATTAAAAAAAAAAGAAGTCTCTTCCTTCTAGAATACAAGCAAGATGAAGATAGGGGTTGTTGATTGTTTTATTTGCTGCTATTTCCCTAGCTCTTAGGAAAGTGCTCCTAGCACACAGCAGACACTTAGTAAATGCTTGCTGAATGAATGAACCTCCCCAAAGTTAAAGAGCTAGTAAGTGGTAGAACTGGAATCTGAACGACATCTGAACAAAAGCCTAAAAATTTAACTGCTAAATTATGCTGTGCATAGCAACCATGTGATGTAAGCTTTAATAAGACACAAATATGTTCAAAGAGCAAAAACTGTTCTTCTCTGACACAAACAACAGACCTCATATAGTGATAGAGAAAACGCCAATCTTTAATCTGTGTGAACAAAAATTAGTATTCCTTACAAACATGAATTATAAAAATTCCTTCTTTTTAATAGTAAGGCAGCTGGCCATTTGTACAATTGAATATTTTGCATAAAAGTTTGCAGGGCCAGAAACATTTCAAAAGGAAACAATGGGTAGTCTAGATTCCATCATTGGAAAAATAAAAAATTGGCTGTAAGGTGTTCCCAAAAGATAGTAGTATTTTATTCCTATCCCCAAGAGAATGAGTTAGTGGTGTAATTCATTCATTCATTCATTTGGCAAATACTATTAACCATTTACACTGACCGCACATCATACTAGGGATACAGCAGTGAACAAAACAATTCTTACATTTTTAAAGGGGAAACAATAAATATGAAACAAACAAACAAAAAGGAATGTATTCATATCACAAAAACATTGGTTTAGAAATAAATGGCCTTTGTAATTCACTCCTGAATAATTCAGAGTAAACTTTTCTCACAGCGGTAGAAATCTCAGATGACCCTGGTTTGAATCTCCATTTCTGTGACCCTGGGAAACTGCAAACGTCAGGTCACAAATGGGGGAATTTCACAAATGGGGGAAAATAGAACCCATCTTGCAAGCCTGATATACGCTCAATGTTAAATGTTGAAAAAGAAAATATGCAAGAAAATACTTAGCACACTTCAGGGTAAATAATAAATATCAAATAATCTTATTATAAGGATATATAAACAATTTAATTCTGCCATTTTGTGAAACCCAATATGAAAATCTTGGGCTTCATATTTAATTACAGTTTCCTTTCTTTTTTGGGAAGCTATCATGAGTCATTCATTAATTCATCCATTCAACAAATGTACAAAGCCAGGTATTTCATTAGGTGCTACAAATACATCAGTTTACAGGACACACACAGTCTCCACACAACTTGGGAGGCTGTGTGTGTCCTTATTACCCAGTATAAGTACTTATTGTGCTTATTACCCAGAATGAGTACTGGGTATTGAGAGCAAACTCATGTCTAACTTTTCAACAAGAAATAGTAACTTTTCTTTCTTTCCTTCCTCCCTTCCTTCCTTCTTCCCTCCCTGTTTGTTTGACAGAGAAAGAGCACAAGCAGGGGGAGCAGCAGGCAGAGGGAGGGAGAAGCAGGCTCCCTGGCTGAGCAGGCAGCCCGATGTGGGGCTCCATCCCAGGACTCCGGCATCATGACCTGAGCCAACGGAACACGCTAAAGACTGAGCCACCCAGGCGCCCCAAGAAACAGTAACTTTAAACCCGTATTTACCAGGTCCTATTACAGGAGTTCCCCCCCCCCCCCAGTGGTACTTTGCGTTTTGGAAAATGCTCAGTGAATAAAGTTCACTACCAAGGGCAAAGTGCAAAGTTAAGAGAAATCCCAGAAGCCTCTTACGGTGTCCTCTCATCATTCTATTTCTAAAATGGACTCACCCTAGTAGAATCTAAGTTTCTCGAGGGCAAGAAACCCCAGAGCCTACGAAAATTAATGGCACATAGCAGACACTTTGTAACAGTTCCAAGCGAACTAGTACATATTCCAGTTCTTCACTACTACCATCCTAATCCCTGATCTTATCATCTCTTTCTTGTACTACTGAAAAGCCTTCTAACCGGCCTCAGTTGTTGCTCCCTTAGTCTGTTCTTCAAATAACCAAATAACTATAAAAATTATTTTTCTTCAAATGTGAGATTAAGTCCTTCCGAAGGTTTCCCATCACACTGACCGCACCTGCCATTTCCCAGTGCCGGGCTCTAGCTACTTCTACTTTCCTCCTGAACCTCAACCAGCCCCGCTCCTCTGTGCCTCTGCGGTTCTCAGGACCTGAAATCCTCTCCTGTGGCTCATGGCAGGCTGGCGCCTTCTCCCGCTTCCGACCACCTGAATTAAAGCAGCCTCCCACACAACCGCTATCGCATTTAACTGTTCTTATTTTTTCTTGACATTATCAACATCTGAAATTATCCTGGGGGTGTTTCATTAAGTCTTATCTTCCGCCGTTCCCATGAGGAATCTATAAGCATGTTCCGCTTGTTTCCCTCCAGTCGAGAAATTGTCGAATTACTCAAACACCCCCCGCGCGATTTCCTGTTCTTTTTAAAATTGGGAAAAACACAGGGACCCAGGGATGATCGCGATTACCCGGAAGAACGTCCCAGGCCCACCCCGCCACGAACCTGACTCCACTTCCGCTGCCCCAAGCCAGCCTCCGCCCGCCCTTCCGCACACCTGTTTCCGCTTTTCTAACACTAGGGAGACGCTTTGTTAGGCAGGACCACCTCTCCTCCCAGCCTGTCCCGCCCACCTGCCCTTTACCTGATTGCTTCTCGGCTTCCGCCAGGAGGCGCGCCTCCAAGGGCCCGGCCTCAGCCTCTGCCACTGACTTCTTCAGTACCCCCAGCACGGTCTCGGGGGGCAAGTCGACCAGTTGCTCCCACACGGACTCCGTGTAGAAGTCCACCGTATGTGCATTGGAAATGGACAGGGCTTTCCTCAGGAACTGCAGCAGCTCCTGCAACTTGGCACGCAACGCGAACAGGTCCTGGGTCACTGGGAGCGGGAAAGAAGCCGCCATAACGCTCACCCTCCGGGGCTGTAGGTGGCGCAAACGTAGCCGCAAGGCAAGGACTCGGTCGTAACAAAGACCGGAGGAATAGAACTCCGATTTGGACATTAGTTGGGTGATAGATTGCTTTTGTCTCATAACGTATTTTAACAGCGTCCGTTACGTTTTTCTGGCGACTTGGTTGGTGGGCCATGGCGCCGGTAAGGCGGTTAGCCGAGTGGTCGGCAGAGGATTTGGGGCTGCATAGCCAAGGAGTTTCTTCGGTCGGGTTCAAGAATAAGAGCCTGAAGCAGAGGACTTGGCGATCTAATCACCCGCAGGCCTTCGTGGGGAGCGTTCGCGAGGGTATGTAAGAAGACAGCCTTTTACAAATCTTAAGGCCTGCGAAATTTTAGGATACGCTACCCGCCGAAGCAGGGAAGAAGGATTTAGGAACCAGACCCGGCCCCCTCTTAGGGCAGAGGAAGCCATTCTTAAACCCGCTGAAGCCGTGGGCTTCCCAGAACTGTGAATGGGAGGAAGAGTTAGTGTTGCTAACTGTAGTTCTTTTAAGTGTCTCCCTCGACTTAACCCCATTCTTAATCGGAATTATTTTTCTCTGGAGTTTTCCGGTGAAACCGTAAGCGGAGCATCTATGGTTCCAAAGCATTCCAGTCTTTTATTACTGATCTTTGCTTCGCTTTAGTTTGTTTTTGTCTTGCTGTCAGCAAGTTCCCTTGAATTCCATTTGGGCTGTATAAGTCTTAAGTAAGTTCAACTTTCTCATAACTGCTAGCTGTCCAGAAAACCATAGACCATCTCTCTTGTAGGAATTACTTTAGAAAGTAAGTCGTATAGTGTTTCTCTAAGGTAAAATTATTGATATGAGGGTTTTTTTTTAAGTATTGAAGACGAGGATTAACTGTTTTAGGTGAATTAAAGAATTTGTTTTGACTTTGGGTGCGGTAAATTGGATTTGTGCAACACTAATCATTTTCTCTTCTTTGGGCTTATCACTGAGCGTGCATGACTGATGTTAGCCAGGTGTTTTTGAAAAGGACCAACATACTATTCATTCCATTACCTTAAGCTTGTTTTCTTCAAATGACCTTTTAAAGCAAATGAGTGTAATTCTAGCTTCTGAATGTGATGATGTAAGAAATTTTCCTTTTTAAACTAACAGCTACATTTTTTTGTGCAGTTTATTTTCTGAGAAAGTAATTTATGGCTGATACTCTTCAATAGGACAAGGCTTTGCATTCCGAAGAAAGCTGAAGATTCAGCAAAATTACAAGAAATTGTTATGGAAGGAAAAGAAGGCCCAAACCTCACAGGAATCTCAATTCACAGACCGATACCCTGAGCATCTGAAACATCTTTATTTAGCTGAAGAGAAAAGACTCAGGAAGCAACTTAGAAAAGTTGAAGAGCCTTTGTCAGAAGAACAAGCTGATCAGCCTTTGGGAAAGGAACAGTGTGACATCGACCAAGCTTTGTCAGAATACTGTAGTTTTGAGCAGCCTCAGTCAGCAGAACAGTGTGGCATAAGAATGAAGTATGTATTGTCTTCTTTCCAAATCCTTTTTTAAGATTTGTTTGTTTATTTTAGAGAGAAAGTGTAAATGGAAGGTGGGGAGGGGCAGAGGGAGAAAGAACCTTAAGCAGACTCCCTGCTGAGTGCAGAGCCCACCCAAAATGGGGCTCAGTCTCAAGATCATGAGATCGTGACCTGAGTTGAAACCGAGGGTCAGATGTTTAACGAAGCCACCTAGGCACCCCTCAGTTCCTTTGTTGTAGATGGAAGCAGTGTTTTATGAAATAGATTATAGGACAGATTATGGAATTGGAATTTTTCTCATTTAAGGAGTTATAGAAATCACAGTGGATTATGCAAAAATATTTTCAGGGAAGCTTTCTTTTAGCTTAAATGAATGCATTAGGCTAGTTTCAGTTAATGGAAGAAGTAATGAAATTGGAATGAAAAGATCTGGGTTTTGGGTTTCAGCCTCTTGAGTATATTTAATTTGGGGGGACCATGGTTAACTCCTGTTATTAATACATGTTTAAAAAAAACAACTAACTTTTGAGAGGTATTATAATGTAGGGATTAGTACCAGACTCTGGAGCTGGACACATATTGGTACCTGGTGTCCTCTTCTCTGAAATAGAAATGATAATAATTAGTATGTAATTCAGAGATGCCATGTTTTACAATTCTAGAATGGATTATTCACAGAGATCCCATGGTATCTCTGACGCATCTCATGATGTTGGGAAGTGAGTTCATTTATATAAGGTACTTACAAAGGCGTATGGCACATAGGAAGTGCTTCATGGATGTTAACTGCTGCTATTAATACTATTTTGGATTTTGGGGGCGCCTGGGTGGCTCAGTGGGTTAAGCCTCTGCCTTCGGCTCCGGTCATGATCTCAGGGTCCTGGGATCAAGCCCCTCGTCGGGCTCTCAGCGGGGAGCCTGCTTCCCCACCCTCCTCTCTCTCTCTGCCTGCTGCGCTGCCTACTTGTGATCTCTGTCTGTCGGGTAAATAGATAAAATCTTAAAAAAAAATACTGTTCTGGATTTTGTTTCCGGAGGACATAGACTTGGTCACAGTTCAAAAACAAATGGCACAACCGTATAACACTTTGGTTTTATAAGAGCTAACTTACGAAGCTTTCTCTACACATATCTCAAGTTAAAAAACTGTTGAAACCTAAACCAGCAGAAAATCCAGCTGTTACTTGGGACTGTAACATTTTAGTTCACTAAAATACTGTGCTTTAAAGTTGCTAACTATTTGTGGTAAAAGTAACAGGAAACAAAGCCCTAGGAAAAAGTGTAATGGACGTAGAGACAGAGACATTAAAATTCAATTTTTTCAGTAGGTTTGTGCATCATATATTTTAATAATGAATGTAAAGCTCTGGCAGATCTAGAATTGTAGACTTCAGTTCTTTGGCAGTCTGCAAATGTAGATTATCATTCCTGGTAATAACTGAGGTGAAGGTTAAATCATGAGACATATGAAAGTAACAGTCATATTCTTAAAGATTACTTACTTTGAGGTAAAAGCAGAAAAAAGGCATTGAAAAAGTTAAATAGAACTGTCATAATTGGAGAAAGAGGGTAATACAGAGACAGTGAAGTCAGCAGAGGAAAGTTGTGCAAAGTAGGGATTGGTCATCTCTCAAATACTGTAGAGTCCAGGAAAAATAGGACTGAGACCAAGTCTTTGAATTTATGGTCTAGGTAATCATTGGTAACTTTGGAAAGATTTTAATAGATAACCCTTACTAGGATTTTGACCCTGCATCCATGTGGCATCTGAAGCCATGGTGACGGTTATGACTGTGGCATGGACTGTTCATTAGAGAGAGCAAACACCAGATTGCAAAGAGTTAATGAGGGACTGTGAAGAGAAAAAAAAAAGGAGTGAGTGTGAAGTGGTCATCCATGACTGAGTAGATGAATTAAGAGATGATCAAAGCACTTTGGATTAAAGTTCATTTCATCTATAACTTCTTTCACATCCTTCAATTTAATGCCTTTTCCAGCCTGTCATTTCTCCCATTGTGCTGGTTTCCTGTTTGTTAACATTTTAGGAGCTTTCAAAACTTTTTGTATTGTCTCTGGTTTACTATTTCTTCAAGAGTTCTCCATTTACCATTTTTTAATTATATTTTGAAAGCTGTGACTCTATTTTTAGCATGTTATTTGGACATTTTACTATAAGATTTTTGTTCTCTTTTTGCCAGCCTCTCTTCCCTGCTCTGTTACTTCGCATCACTGAGATTTTACTCTGCAAGTACTATATTTGACGTAATTACTTCATAATTTTGGTTACGTCACTTTTTTAATCCTTTGACTTACATATCTTTATCTTTAAAAGCTCCATTACTGTTTCAAAGAAAAATAAAAAGAAAACATCGAATCAAAAAGCACAGGAAGAATATGAACAAGTACAGGCTGAGCGTGCTGCTAAGAAACAAGTAAGATCTTTTAAAATACTTAACTCCTTTTTTGAAATTTATTCTAAATGTAGCTGTATGTAAAGCTGTGTCTCTTAGTATGTCCATATAGTATGTCCTCTGCAAATATTTGCTGAATAAATGAGTAGTTTGAGCAGAGCTGGAGAATTTCAACAGTCAAATTCTTTGATTGTTTATATTATTTTTGAGAAGAGATACTAGTTGGTCAAGAATGGGATTTTTTAAGATTTTATTTATTTATTTATTTATTTGAGAGGGAGAAGGAGAGAGCACAAGAGGGGGCAGTGTCAGAGGGAGAAGCAGATTCCCCACTAAGCAGGAAGCCCAGTGCCGGACTGGATCCCAGGACTCCAGGATCATGACCTAAGCCAAAGGCAGTCCCCTAACCAAGTGAGCCACCCAGTCACCCCAAGAATAGGATTTTAAAGGTTGTGAGCATATGGGGCATCATTTTTCAAGGGTATGGTCCAAGAAGTTGCACTTTTAACAACTGCCTCAAGAAATTCTTAGTATAATAAAATTTGAGACTACTCAGGAAAGTGTAAATGATTATCATAATTTTACATTGAAATAAAAATCGGAGGGAGGTCTTAGAATAAAATATTTCTTTAAAGTATCGATCTTGCCTATTAAAAAGCTTCCTAGATTAACAAAAAATAACCAATTTTTATTATTCAGAAACCCATAATTAAAAGTCTTTTTCAAATGAGCAATAAAATTATCCACAGCTTCAACAAAATTTTGTTTAATCTGTGGTTTTTATTTTTTGTATTGAAGGTTTATTAATCTATCACTTTAAAAAGGATATCACAGCAATCAAACTACTTTAAAGATTATACTGACATAATTTATTTTATGTCTTAGCTTTAGAATTTATATAAGAAATCTGGAAGTTTAACATCTAAAATTCTCGTGATTATTCTTAAACTGGTAGACTAGGGTGAAGCAAAAACATTTCTATATGTAAGTACTGGACATTTGTTGACATTTGTTTCATAGTTAGTTACATTCTTTTCTAACCAACCATCTGACATCTGCCACCTTTGTAAATAGTATACCAGATAAGGTAAAGCCCCTTATACTGTAAAACATTTAGTATCCTTTTAAAATTTTCTTTATAAATACTAGGGCTATGTAGTCATGAAAATTGACAGTTTCTTAGAACTTCAGATACCGAATGT